CATAAGGTTGCTATGGGGCGGTACTGACTCGATGGCACCTAACAACAACCAAAACAGTAAATAAATCTGTGTTGGAAGAAGTGCAGCCAGAATGCTCCTTAGAAGTCAGGCTGGCTAAACTTGGTCTCTCATACTTTGGATATATCATCAGGAGGGACCAGTCCCTGGACAAGGATATCACGCTTGGCAAAGTGGAGGGTTAGCGCAAAAGACAAAGACCAACCCCCCCCCCCCCGCCGCCCCCCAACAAGATGGACTGACATAGTGGTAGCAGCAATGGGCATAAGTGTAGCAATGATTGTGAGGGTGGCCCTAGACTGGACAGTGTTTAGTTCTGTTGTGTATAAGGTTGCTATGAGTCGGTACTGACTCGTTGGCACCTACTTTTAGGCACCTAACAACAACAGCCCATTGGCTAAAGGCATAGCAGTGACTCAGGCTTCATACAAAACTTTTCAAAGTGGACATATTCCTGGTTCTAAAATCTTCTTTGTCTCTTTTTGCACCTATTAGTAGCACTGAGGCCACACGGCAAATAGCTAACACTTTTGATAATACCTGCAGGATATTAATTTCCAGTTTCTTTTGAGGACAGGAACGTCATTTATCCTTCTATTCCAGAGGTCATTACTGTGTACTCTGGTGTCAAAAAATGCTGAATTGACTCTGAAATGCCACCTGGATCATAAAAAGTCCTATTTATAGGAACAAATAGATACTTTACAACCAATAAAAGGAAAAGCTTTAAAAATCATGACTATTTTTAACAAAAATCCACTCCTTCCAGCTGATTCTGACCCACAGTAACTCTATGGTCAGAGTAGAACTGTCCAGAGGGATCCTGTCTCCCAAAGAGCAGCTAGTGGGTGTAACCTACCAGCTTTGCAGTTAGTTGACCAACATTGAACCCACTGTGTCACCAGGGCTCCTGTTTTTAATGATAAACCTAAAACAAATCCATTACCATCGAGTCGGTTCCTTCTCATAGCGACCCTGTATAGGGCTTCCAAGGCTGTAAATCTTTACGGAAGCAGAAAGTCTCATCTATCTCCGATAGAGCAGCTGGTGGGTTTGAACCGACATTAGCAGTCCAATGCTTATCCTACAGTACCACTAGGACGTCTTATTTTTAACAATGTTATTGTTGTTAAGTGCCGTTTGTTCAGTTCTGAGTTATAGTGGCCCTTTATAGGGTTTCTGAGGCTATAAATCTTTGCAGGAGCACAAAGCCTCATGTTTCTCCTAACTACAGTATTATTACCTCCTTAAATGACTCGATGTCACTAACAACAACAACATAGTTTAAGCATTGACCTGCAAACCACAATGCCCATTGGAGGTGTGAGCCCACTTAAAAATGGGCACAGGACATGAACAGATACTTCACCAAAGAAGACATTCAGGCAGCCAACAAACATACAAAGAAATGTTCATGTTCATTAGCCACTGATATTGTTGTTGTTCTGACTCATAGCAACCCTGTAGGGGGTTTCCTAGGAGTGGGTAGTGAGTTTTGAACCACTGACTTTGCAATTCAAATTGACCTTGAGGTCGACAGATGGAAATCAAAACAATGAGATATCATCTACCCCAGCATTAACTGTTGTTGTTAGGTGCCATCGAGTTGGTACTCATCCATAACAACCCTATAAACAATAGAAGGAAACACTGCCCGGTCCTGGGCCAACCTCACAATTGTTGCCACATTTGAGCCCATTGATGTGGCCACTCTGCCAATCTCATGGGGGATCGTCCTCTTTTACTCTGACCCTCCACCTTACCAAACATAATATCCTTCTCCAGTGATTGGTCCCTCCTGACAATATGTCCAAAGTATGAGAGATGAAATTTGGCCATCCTGGCCTCCATGGACCACTCTGGCTGCACGTCTTCCAACACAGATACAGATCCTTTTGTTCTTTTGGCAGTCCATGGCACTTTCAATATTCTCCTCCTACATCATAACTCAAAAGCATCAATTCTTCTTTGATCTTCCTTAGTCACTGTTCAGCTTTTGCATGTATATGAGGTTACTGAAAATACCATGGCTTGGGTCAGGCACACCTTAGTCCTAAAGCTGAAATCTTTGCTCTTCAACACTTTAAAAAGGTCTTGTTGATAGTTGATGCAAGAAGAATGAAGTCCTTGACAACTTCAATCTTTTCTCCATTGATAAGAACGTTATTTATTGGTCCAGTGGTGAGGACATTTGTTTTCTTTACGTTGAGATGCAGTCCATACCGAATGCTGTGCTCTTTGATCTTCATTAGTAAATATTTGACGTCCTCTTCACTTTCAGCAAGCAAGGTTGTATCATCTGGATATCACAGGTTGTTAACGAGTCTTCCTCCAATCCTGATGCCATGTTTTTCTTCATATAACCCAGCTTCTTAGATTTTTGCTCAGCATACAGGTTGAATAATATGGTAAAAGAATACAACCCTGTCGCACACCTTTCTTAATTTTAAACCAGTGTTCCCATGTTCTTTTCGAACAACTGCCTCTTAGTCCATGTACAGATTCCTCTTGAGCACAATTAAGTGTTCCAGAATACTCATACTTCTCAATGTTGCCTATAGATTGTCATGATCTGTACAATCGATAGCCTTTGCGTAGTCAATAAACCATGTATTTCTGGTATTCTCTGCTTTCAGCCAAGATCCATCGGACATCAGCAGTGATAGATATCCCTTGTTCCAGGTCCTCTTCTTGATCCAGCTTGAACCTCTGGAAGTTCTCTGTCCATGTATGCTTGCAGCCATTTCTGTATTACCGTTAGTAACATTTTACAAGCATGGGATATCAAAGAGATTGTCTGATGGTTTCTGCATTCCTTTGGGACACCTCTCTTTGGAATGGGCACAAATACGGATATCTTCCAATCAGTCAGCCAAAGAGCTGTCTTCTAAATTTCTTGGCATAGATGAGTTAGTGCCTCCAGTGCCGCCTCACTTTCTTGAAAGATTTCAATTTTTATTTCATCAATTCTTGGAGTCTTGTTCTTTGCCAATTCCTTCAATATATGTTGTACTTCTTCCTTCAGTATCATAGGCTCTTTATCATATACTATTTCTTGAAACGGTTGAACAGCAACCATTTCCTTTTGGTACAGTGACTCTGTATATTCCTTCCATCTTCTTTTGATGCTTTCTGCATCATTCAATAACTTACCCAGATAATCCTTCATTAACTAAAGTTGAGGCTTGAATTTTTTCTTCAGTTCTCCCAGCTTGAGAAATGCTGAGGGTGTTCTTCCTTTTTGGTATTCGAACTCCAGATCTTTGCACATTATGTTGGAATATTTGACTTTGTCTTCTCGAGGTGACCTTTGAAATTTTCTGTTAAGCTCTTATATCTCCTCCTTTCTTTCATTTGCTTTAGCATCTCTACTCTGAAGAGCAAGTTTCAGCGTCTCTTCTGACATCCATTTTGATCTTTTCCTTCTTTCTTGTCTTCTCAATGACATTTTGCTTTCTTCATGTATGATGTTCTTGATGTCATCCCACAACTCTTGTAGTTTCGGTCTTTAGTGTTTAATGTATAAAATCTGTTTTTCAGACAATCTCTAAATTCAGGTGGGATATATTCAAGGTCATATTTTGGCTCTTGTGGAGTTGTTTCCATATTCTTCAGCTTCAGTTTGAATTTGCATATGAGCAGTTGATGGTCTGTTCCACAATCTGCTCCTGGCCTTGTTTTGACTGATGTAGAGCTTTTCCATCGTCTCTTTCCACAGATGTAGTCTATTTGATTTATGTGAATTCCATCTGATGAGGTCCATGTGTGTAATTGTCTCTTATGCTGTCTAAAGAAGGTATTTGAAATGAACAAATCATTGGTTTTGCAGAATTTTATCATGCGATTTCCGGCATCATTTCTATCACTAAGGCCATATTTTCCAACTAGTGATCCTTCCTCTTTGTTCCCAACCTTTGCATTCCAGTCACCAGTAATGATTAATACATGTTGACTGCATGTTTGATCAATTTCAGATTGAAGAAGTTGGTAGAATTCTTCTATTTCTTCCTCACTGGCTTTAGTGGTTGGTAAGTAAATTTGAATAATAGTGGTATTAACTGGTCTTCCCTGTAGGTGCATGGATATTATCCTATCACAGACAGCGTTGCACCTCATGAATGATCTGGATATGTTCTTTTTGATAATGACTGCAACACCATTCCTCTCAATTTGTCACACCTGGCATAGTAAACTATGTGGTTGTCAGATTCAAAATTGCCAATACCAGTCCATTTCACCTCACTAATGCCTAAGATATTGTTTATGCATTCCTTTTCATTTTTGACAATTTCCAATTTTCCTAGATTCATATTTCGTACATTCCATGTTCCTATTATTAATGGACGTTTATAGCGGTTTTTCTTCATTTTAAGTTGTGCCCCACCAGCAAATGAAGGTCCTGTGGGCTTTACTCTTTAGTCCATTTGCGTCATCTTGAGGGGCAGCTCTACCTTGAGGAGGCAGCTCTTCCCCAGTTGCATTTTGATTGCCTTCCTACCTGAGGGCTCATTTTCCAGCACTTTATCTAACAGTGTTTCTCTGCGGTTCATACGGTTTTCAGTGACTAAACATTTGGAAGCAGTTCATCACGTCTTCTTCCTAGTCTGTCTGTCTGGTAGCTCAGTATTAACAGCAAAGTAAAAAAAGAAATAGAAATGCTGGTGAGGGTGTGGAGAGACTGGAAGCTTCCTACACTGCTGGGGGGCTGTGGGTTGCAGTCCAGTCTCAGCTGGTAACTGAGCCACTTAGCAGCTATGGGATTGTGGCAAATCGCTTAATGCTCTTGGCCACAGCATCCACATGTATACAAAAAGAATAACAGAGTTACCTCCTAAGACTCTTTCCAGCATTGAATGAGTTAAATGTACAAGGAGATTTTAAAAGTTTGTGGAAAAATTCTATTACCTTCTAGTTCCATTTTCCAACGAATTTTCTGAAACCTCCTACAGCATTCAAAAGGAGTGCCTGACCTATAGCTTAGCTTCATAGATTTGGGACATTATTAACCATCATCTCTGTCAAACAAGATGGGAAAAGAATACGTTTGCAGGACAGAATAAAAGCTCAGTCATGGCATTTTATTCTCTAACTTAAATGCGCTCTGTTAAGAGCGTTGGCATTCATTAAATTGGGTAACAAATGACTTACACCACAGGTTTAAAGGTGCCTACATCAATACCTGAATAAAAGCATTTGCTTGCACACACTTGGCTTTTTCCACTGTAACTTTGATTCCATTTTTAGTAGCAAAACATGTGGCATGATCTTGGAAATGAATAGCTTTCAGAATCGTCGAGAGATTCCTGACGTTGTCAAGGCTAGCCACCAAGCTGTAAGAATCCTCAGCTTGGATCTGCTGGGTTAGGAGGGGCATCGTCCGCTGCACAGGCGACTCCCAGGGAGCCAACACCTGCAAAACACCTGCGGAGAGTCAACAATAAAACACCAGCTCAGTTCTGGTGAAGTTCACCGGACCCAATAACGCTGGGATGGTGAACTGGACAAGCAAAGCTCGAATCCCCGCTCCGCCACTTAACTGTCACCTCTCTAATCTCCAAGTTTCTTAATCCAATTAATTTACTCAACTCTTCAATCTACAGGTTTCTTACTTAATTTACTCACTTCCCTAATCTACAAGTTTCTTAATTCATTTACCTGTTACCTCTGTAATCTACAGGTTTCTTAACGCACTTAACTGTCACCTCTGTAATCTACATGTTTCTTAATTTACTCACCTCTCTAATCGACAGGTTTTTCTACTTTCGTGTGGGAATAACATCTACCTGAAAAGGGGTGAGTTAGGAGGATATGTCCAACTGTTTCGTCATGCCAAACGGGCTACGTCATCATCACAGTGTCTGTATGAGGCCGTCTCGCGCCAAAATCCGTCTCCAAGTGAACAAGCCATGGGAGCCGATCTCAAGTCTCTCCGAAGATGCTTTGTCAGTCCCAGACAAGCCCATTCACTAGCCAGCCCGCGAGAAAGCATCGCAATCCTACCTTTGGGGTGAAGTCCTGAGTGACCCTCTCAGCCAGACCACTGGGGAAGCAAGGCCCGCACCCTGAGGAACCGGCCGGAAATGGAAATAATAACCACACTATCTTTGGAACGGCAATCGGCCTTCACAGCCGTCACCATAGAGTTGGAGACTAGAGGGCCGCGTGGACGGTAACCATAGACACCGGAAAGACTCACCATAGAGATCGGAAAGAGGGGAGAGTAGCCTAACCGGAAGAAAGGCGAAGAGCGAACACGACGAGGCAAGATGGTGGCTGCCAAAAGGAAACGGCATGGAGACTTGCCGATTCAGAACAACAGGCCGAAAAAGAGCAAAAAAGATTCCAGGCCACCTCCTAAGCTGCAAAACACGGCAAAGGAGGCGGAGGAGGACGAGAAAGACCGTATCCCAGGACCCGTCTGCAAGGTAAAAAAGACGCTTGAGTGGCACCTCTTGCCGCGCCACCTGGAACCGACCTAGTCACCCCTTAGATGATTCCAGCTTAGCTAAAATAGCAGTTTTCCAGTGTTGCGGGAACTAGTTTTCCGCTCTCCTGTGGACCCTGCTTTCGGAAGGCGACGCGCAGACTGGGGAGTTTCAGAGCCCGGATCCGGCTGACGGAAAAGCGATGTAGGGGTGCTCCGCGCCAGTATTCTGTATTCTAGTTAATCCTTATTTTAGAAGTTTACTTTTCCTTAGGTTATTACTCGTAAATACGTCCTTTACTGTGATTAAAACAAGAAACCAATCGCTGGTCATGCAGACTGATGGCAACCCCATGTGCGTCGGAGTAGAATTGTGCTCCGTAGATTTTCCAATGGCTGATGTTTTAGAATTAAGTGCCCTTTACCAAGCCTCCCTCCATCTTTTGTTTAAGTCTTTTGCATATCGTTTTCCAACACCATCTCTTGAAGAGACTATCACCTCCCCATGCGATATATTTAGGTGTTTTGTCAAACATCAGTTGGCTGTATGTAGATGGGTTAATTTCTGGATTTTCGATTCTGTTCTATTGATATGTGTATCTTTCATTGTATCAGTACCAAGCTGTTTTGACCACTGTAGCCATGTAGTAAATTTTGAAGTCGGAGAGTGAGAGGCCTCCAACCTTATTCTTCTTAAGCAGTGCTTTGCTTATCCTGGGTCTCTTTCTTTTCCATATAAAGCCTGCCCGGGCCCCCCCTTTTCAGGCCTTTCCTTAGTGGCTGTGTACATTAAACCAGTTTGCATCAGCCTTCCGGTGAGTAATAGTTAACATCTGCCCTAATTAGCCATTGTCAGAGATCCCAAAGCTTGGTATGCAGTCGTTGTTAGGTGCCCTGTGATTTGGGACCAGCAGAGTGACCCTGTGTGCGGTATCCCCATGTTTGAGCCCGTTGCTTCAGTGGCTGTGTCAATCCATCTCTTTGAGAGTCTTCCTCTTTTTAACTCATCATCTATTTCACCAAACATGTGCTTTTAGATAACGTAACGCCATTGCTCTTTAACTTGTTATTCTAGGCCAAGTAAACCATATGATTCTCGAGGCAGAATGGCCAATGCCTATCCATTATCCATTTCAGCTTACTAATGCTTACGATATCGATCTGTGTGTTCCACTGCATTTTTTTTCATGACTTACAATTCTCCTACATTCATACTCCATATAGTTCACGTTTCAATTATTAGTGGATGTTTGCAGCTGTTCTTCTCATTTTGAGTTGTACCCTGTCAGCAAATGAAGATTCTGAAAGCTGTACTCCATTGGGTGATTCTACTTTGAGGAGGCCGATCTTTCCCAGTTTTTTGAGTGCCTTCCAACTTGAGGAACACATCTATGGCACTATCTGATAATGTTGCGCTGCTAATCTCTCAGAAGTGAACTGCCTCTTCCTTCTTCCTAGTCTGGTTTAGTCTGGAAGCTCTGCTAAAACCTGTTTACCATGGACGACCCTGCTGGTATTGGACACATTGGGGGCATTGCTAACATCACAGCAACACGCAAGCCACCACAGTATGACAAAGTGACAGATGAGTGGAGTCTCTTGTCATTCATTCATTTTTAATTATACCATTTATTGTTAAAGAAACACCAGCATTCAGATATGAACTGCTTAAAACAAAATATGAAAGTCAATTTTTCATTGTAAGATGAAATAATTTTATACTGATTGTTGAAACAACATAAGTTTACTTACTCATTTTCTTTGTTGTAGGTTGTGTTGAATATTTTTTTTGAAGTAAATGTGTATATAGTAAAAATCTTGGTAACCCGCATCCACTAAAGAATTTAATCCAATTTATCTCATTCCACTAAAATGGCGCAGGACGTTTTTGCATTTAATTACTAATATTTGAGTTACATTTAAAAAGAAGTTGCATTAAGGGTAGCTAATTCACATGCATGTTGTTATTAATTGCTGTCAAGTTAGTTCCAACTTAAAATAACCCTGTTTAGGATTTTCTAGAGCAGCTGGTGGATTTGAACTGCTGACTTTGGTTCACAGTCCAGTGCTGATGCTACAGCGCCACACCAGGAGTCTTCACTAATGCATGTATATATTGCTCTTGTTTTATTCAAATGTGGAGGGGCACCACAGATTATCTGTGTTTGGGACTGCACTTGCCTTAATCAGGCCCTGTGTACAACATTGTCACAGTGTGTCATTTGCTGATGTCATCATATCTGTAATGTTGCCAACCCTCAAACACAAAGATGAAATTTATAAAGATACTGGAGTCCATTTATGACAAGGCCATCTGAGCAGAACCCCATGGAATACCAGGACAATATGCATTCAACAAATTTAGTTTACCAGGCACTGCCTTGGGGATCGGAAAGGTGATTAGAATGTAACCTCTTCCTCATTAAATTTTGGGGTTTAGAAGCAAACTAAGAATTATCTCACTTAAGTTGTTACTTTTTATTCTTAAGGAGGTGAGCACAGTTTGTTAGACTTTTTAATTCGTAAAACATAGAGCTCCTTAGCTACTCCAGGTACTGTGGGGAAAAGAATTGCCTTTGATTTGTTCATTTCTGTGTTGCTCATACTTAGTAGTACCACAGCCCTTCCACATCACAGATGATACAAACTGGACAAATGTATGAATAAATAATGTCGAGCATCCTGCTCAGTGTGACAGACTCTAGGATAGGATGTATGCTGAATAATGAAAGATAGATTAATATTCTAGCCCTTCTATTCATTAACTGTGAAGTTCTGAACTCTTTTCTCATCCAAGGAAGAAATTGGGTTTATTTTTATGAAGAATAAATTGACCTTCTGTTAGGTTTTCAGTAAATCTTAGTGCCAATATGCTTCTTTTAAGGAGCTAAAACAAAAGTATGATAGTTTCTTGGTAAAATCTGTGCGGTGCAGAGCATCCAGTTTACTTTTCTCCTGACAAAGTTAGCCTTTGGACTGGCTCTCAAAGGAAGAGTAGAGTTCTGTTGCTCAAAAATGGAAGGCAGGCAGCAGTACAGTTGGAAAGAAAAAGACCTGATCAAAGGTGTTCAGGAAGGAAACTGCTGAGATCTAAAGACTAGAGCCTGATTAGTGTTTGTAGACAGTTGATCTGGGGGAGTTAGGTCACAATGGAAATGTACTTTGGAATTCAACTCTAAAGCTAAGTCATCTGGCCTTTATTTTTCAGTCCTGAGGAGTAAGGATGTGATGGTTGTTAAGTGCTGGTGCTAGTTAGCTATATCATTTGAAGAGATCCTGTTTGCAGTAGAGAGATATTAAACAAATTGTTTTATTTACTAAATTACTCAGTACAATGAATGAGCTTATTTCTTTGTATATTTATGGTGAAACCTCAGTTCCCTGAATCACACACATGTCAGAAGAGGCGGGGCAGACTGACAGTCTTGAAACTTTTTTGTATGTAAGATGGGGTTTCAGAATCATAACACTCATTTTCCTTTTCTTTAGGGCAAATGGAAGAATAAAGAACGGATTCTCATTTTTTCTTCCAGAGGAATAAATTTCAGAACAAGACACTTAATGCAAGACTTAAGAACGTTGATGCCTCATTCTAAAGCAGGTGCCTTTATATCATGACTTAAAAAACTGTGTTTATAAAGGTGTTTCTATATATACATGAGGGGGCTTCCAAAAGTTTATGAGGAAATGGAATTTTTCCACAAACTTTTTGAAACCCGCTCACATATTCACTTACAATAATGCTTTATTTGCTCAAACTTGTTGGGTTAAGAACCACATTTCAAGTGCCATGTTTTTTCCAGTTAACATTTTGTTAGAAATTCTAGCATACGCATTAGACATTTTCTTCGCTTTCTTAAGCAACATAATCCTAAAAATTTTTAAACACTTGTCAAAGGTATGGAAATGTCTTCAAGAAGTAATTCTCTCAGAGATCATGGGATACTTGGAATAGTTTGCCCTTCTAAACAATTTAGTACTCATGTATTGTGTTCTGAGGGGTTTTGTTGTTATTGATTGGTTTTGATTGTTTTTAATTAATGGCCCTGAAGTAGGGTTTAAAGCAACTTTAAGGTTGGGGCCAAAATACGTCTGAATGCCAAGCTTTTTTTTTTGTTGCTGTTGCATTGCATTATCTGATGGGCAGGAGAAGGTTTCTCACCTTTGCAGGTGTTTTTACATCTGTGTTGGGAGGTCGTGTGGGCTTTTATTCTAACAGCTTTCTCCTTTAGACCAGCATTTCACAACCTATGGACTCTGATCATTTGAAAGCATTTTTTAACCAGGACATAATGATTCAAAATTGATATTTTCATCAATTCAGATTTTAGTTTATTGAGTGTTTTCTTAACAGAGTCTTAAGTTTGTGAGCATTTTTTTAATTTTTAAAAGGGACTCACAGAATGCTTGACCTTAGACCGTACTTTATAATTTCTTTCAGTTTTCTTGATTTTACAAATGATCAAAGTATTAAAAAGGTCAGGCATTTTCTGGTCTAATCAGTTTGCTCTAATAAACAGAAGTCTGAGCATCTGTATTCTAGATGAAATATGGAATTTGATGAAAGTAGATTTGGAATCTCTTCTAATTATGTTTTCCTTTTTACAGATACTAAAATGGATCGTAAAGATAAATTATTTGTGATTAATGAGGTAAGGTAATTTTGGGGAGTTGTTGTTGTTGTTGTTAAGTGCCTTTTGAGTCGGGTCCGACCCATAGCGACCCTGTACAGGGTTTCCGAGGGTGTAAATCTTTACAGGAGTAGAAAGCTTCATCTTTCTCCCGCGGAGCGGCTGGTAGTTTTGAACCGCTGACCTTAAGGTTCGCAGCCCGATACGTAACCACTACGCTACTGTAAAATGTTTTAGGAATAGAGTATTTTGCGTTCAATATTTCAGCATATGCTCATATTTTTCTAAATGATTACGTTTTCTTTTAATCATTGCTCTATTTGAGCCAATTGTTTCTGCCATTGGGTCAATCCATCCTGTTGAGGGTCTTCTTCTTTTTTTCCTGACTTTGTACTTTACCAAACATAATGGAATTAAAAGCTGTTATTGAGTGCAGTCGAGTTGCTTCTGACTCATAGTGACCCTTATAAGGTTTCTAAGGCTGTGTTTTTGTGGGAGCAGAAGGCTTCATTGTTTTCCTATAGAGGAGCTGGTGGGCTCACACTGCCAACCTTTGGTTCATAGTCCAGTGCTTCTCCTTCAGAGCCATTGCACTCACATTAAAAACTAGTAATAGATTCAATTTTCAAAATATCCCTAGGGAGAGTATACCCACAAGTATGTACAGCTTTGACAGGATATTTGTACATGGGTATTAATATTTGCCACAAATATGTCCATGAATGTAGCGCAGCATACAGGGAACAGAGTTATAAAAACTTCTTAGACTTTACCATACACCTTGAGGGAATGAGTCATTAGGCCGGGGGCCTCGGGACCATTGTCATGGAAGCACTATGGTCAGTTGACATAACATAGTCCACAGAGACAATGTTCTGTTTCTTACTTTGATGATGGTGCTGTTAATTGCTGTTGAAACAGTTCTGACTCATAGCAACCCTGTGTAGGGTTTCCAAGGAGTAGCTGGTTGGCAGCCAGTGCTTATCCTACTGTGCCATACCAGCGACTGGGACCTTAAATCTCATGAGTGGCCATCTAGGGTGCAATTACTGGTCTCTCTATGCATGGAGGAAAGAAGAGTGCCGAAAATTGGAAACAATTAGTCTGATGGACTAATGATCATGGGGACATCAGTCTTCATGACCCTGAGTCCCAAAAAAACTAGGTGATACCTGGCTACTGCTACCAACTGCTCTGAAAGGGATCGCTTTAGAAGGTCCTGGATAGAGTGGGATAAAATGTGAATCAAAACTCAAAATCATAAAGAAAACTTACTGGTCAGGTAGAGGTTGATGGAACCCTGAGACTATGTGCCCTTGGTCACCCTTCAGGTCTTGACCTCAGCTTATCCCCATGGCTCTGTCTTCAGCCAAACAGCAGATAGTAGGACAATACCACTAGTGAGGTACACACACCACAGAATGGTCAACCGTTTGAGATCATAAGGGCAGCATGCATTTACCAATGGACAGAATTCAGAACAGTGGGGAACGGAGGAGAAATGGGAACAAAAAACAGGGAGGAAGTGGGCTAAGTGATGTTACATAGAGGGCATAGAAATTGAGATGAAATGAAGTATGTGATTTGTTGAACGTAATACTGCACTCTAAACCTTCACTCAATTCACAATAAAAAGTTAAAAATACATTTGTAACCCCGGGGATGCTAGATATGCATTTTTAAAGCAAATTTTTCAAATTTTCAAAGAATTATTTAAGATTAATACATTTTTTCAGCTGTTGTTGTTGATAAGGACCTCTGGTAGCGTAGTGGTTGTGAACCGCAAGGTCAGCAGTTCAAAACTACTAGCTGTTCTGCGGGAGAAAGATGAGGCCTTCTGCTCCTGAAAATATTTATAGCCTCAGAAACCCTATAAAGGGTCACAATGAGTCAAAACCAACTCTACAGCACATTACCACCACCACCATTGTTGTTGTTAAATACCTTAGTTCTGACCTGTAGAGACCTGTATAAGATTTCCTAGGAGCAGCAGATAGCCTTGAACTGCCGACCTTGTGATTCACATCCAGAGCTGATCTGACAGTACCAGGAGTCCGTTTTAGCGTTTAGAAAGATTTCAAATTGTATTCATTTAGTACAAATTTTGCAGTCCTGGTGATGTACTGGGTTACAGGTTGGACTAGTAAGCACAAGGTCAGCAGTTCAAATCCATAGCCGCTCCATGGGAGAAAGAAGAGGCTTTCTACTCCATGGCTTGGGTCAAGGACTTCATTCTTCTTGGATCAACTATCAACACTCATGGAAGCAACAGTCAAGAAATCAGACGATGTATTGTATTGGGCAAATCTGCTGCACAAGACCTTTTTAAAATGTTGAAGAGCAAAGATGTCAGCTTGAGGACTAAGGTACACCTGACCCGAGCCATGGTATTTTCAGTAACCTCATATGCATGCGAAAGCTGGACAGTGAATAAGGAAGACCAAAGAAGAATTGATGCATTTGAGTTATGGTGTTGGAGGAGAATATTGAAAGTGCCGTGGGCTGCAAAAAGAACCA